GTTCACGCTGAAAAGTAAATTTAAGTAAGTCCTCGATTTTAGCAGCGTTGATGTTGAGCACTGTATCAGCCATGCCATGTCCCTCTTCGTTTGGTTTGGGTCAACGAGTCAACACAACAAGAACCAACAGCTAGACATTCGCTGTTTCAGAGTTTCGCTCACATTAATATACAACAGCTGACAGACTGACCGACTGACTGACTGACTGAAGAGGCTCGTCCAATAATTTCAGTCCCTCGCCAATCACGTAGCCCTGAAATGCTGAATACAAAAGTGCCACGTATAACGCTATTCAGATGGAAGCGATGTTTATCTTTATCTAGCGGCTTGAAGTCTGGTGATCATAATTTTGACCCTGATCATGACGAGATGAGGGTGAAAATAACGACGTAAAACCGCAAATATATTGTATTTTGATATTTATGCTGTAGCTTGTAAGGAGTCCAGTTTTTGAACCATCAGGGATGCCTGGATAATGGCAAATACTAAAGGACCTAAACCGTTATAGATTCTTCTGGTTTATAGCTTTTATCACATTAAAAGATATTGCGCCTCGAAGGCATCACTGCTCATGCAGACGTGGTTGAAAACTAATTTCTGTCTCTAACTCATGTGGGCGACACAGAGAGTCAGTAAGTCAGTCAGTCATCCACGATGACTATTCTTTAGGGTCAAGGAGGCAGACGCATCAGACAGTGCCTTCAATGCTCCTGATCCTGTGCAAGTGTCTGAACTTCCACAGAAGACAGCCCAAGTCTGGAACAGAGTCTGGACACTTGACCAAAACATTTCCTGTCCGTCGCCGGAGTCTTTGCTCAGACGGTCGAGCAACTAGTAGCTGCTCTGTAAGTGCTGGCAAAACGTGCCCAAAGCATCACAGCTGTGCCCATTCAGTCTGGAAAAGTAGCGAATGTACGCCAAGGCTCTGTCGAGTACCTTAACTCCTGGCAATGTCGAGACGCATGTCAATACTCGATACGCGATATAATGCTTTGAATTTAGTTGTGCCTTTGCTGCTCTCTTTCTCACCGTCGTTACTTCCGGTATGTTGTCGAAACGGAACTCTGTCAGAGAGGTCGTTTTGTCGTGCACTCGGAACGGAATGTGATAATCGGCGCGCTTTCAAGTTTTCCGTCCATTTCTTGTTTATGATTTATGGGTGTTATTGATCGCAATCTTAACCTGGGTAACTGAGTGATGTTCGTTTCTACTTCAATTTTTTCATGTGTCGTCAAGTTCCACGCTATTCGCAACGCTGTATGCGGTTGAAGCAGCCAAGTTACGTTGGCCGGCAGGTCGGCCAGCATCGTTTACTGTAAATAAAGCGGTGAGAGTACCCGTAGCCGATCGCAGTCATTCAACACCAGAAAAACCCCCCTTTATTATCTGGCACGCAAAGCGGATGCTGCTTCGGCTGTCATTCATTGCCGTCGATAGCCAAAGCCATGTGTGCATCGGTGGGTAGATTCATGTGGAAACTTCGTGCCGTCTCGTTTTG